AAAAAAAAAAAAACTGCTTTGCTTTTCTTAGACTTCTTGTCCTCGATAAAATTGGTACAAGGCAGCCATAAAATTTTATCGTACGACTTTTCTCTGTAGTTACTCAGAGGTTGGTAGCTAACCCCAGAAAGTTCCACGTTATCAACGTAATGGGAGAAAAAAAAAGACGACCACCAAGACCGGTTCTTCTAAACTGATATCATAACAATAGTAAGAAAGGTAGTTTACACAAAAACACACGCACACACACAGACACACACACACATACACAAATACAGTCGGACATCTGAAAATCAAAGAAAAATTAATTACAGTCATATCAAAAATGCGCATCCTCATCCTCATTCTTCCCGCTTTTTGCCCCACTATAGCAGTCTATCCCACTGAAATCCAAAACCCATAGTAAAAAGCTACAATTAGTAACAATATACCAAACGAACCTGTCTGATGGTATAACTACACTCCTGGTGAATCATTTGTACATACATTTACATTTAATATGGTATATTCCAGTCTGTAAAAAAATAAACTCGTAATATTGGCTTCAATTTACCAAAAAGTTGAATAGCATCCGAGCACAAATCCATCTGTGGCCTTGTTTCACTTCCTTACAACCAACTTTCGTAGTTTTTTTTTTTTCTGGAGGATGCAGTGAGGAGGGAGTAATGAGTTGGGAGAGGTATTAACTTTCACAACCTATTAAGCGGTGCAAAAGGAACAGTGGAAATTTACCACCTAAACTTTGACCAAAATGCAAAAGAATGCAAAATGCAAAATGCAAAATCCTACCACCAAAAAATTTTTCTCGAACTCGATGTTCATATGTGATATATTCACAGCTATGTATTTTGATGTACTTCACAACCCAACAACAATGACAGCAACGACCAAAACAAAAGAGTGACACACAGACGCAGACGGACACACACACACACAGACACACACAAATAAATGAGTACCGTAAGAAGCTTCGCGATCTTTCCAACAATTTCTTTCACGCGTTGCACAACCGCAACGCGCGGAAGAAATTATTTTATTGCAAAGCGATTGGAAATAACGGTTTAATTAATTATGCAAGTTGTAGTAAGAATTTTTTTTTACAGAAGTGAGAAGGCGCTATTTTAATGCTAAAATTGGAAATTTTAACAAAAAACATTGAAATGTGTGGAATTTTAACAAATTTCTAAATGGAACTATTTCATATAATTATTTGCAAACAAACGCCCGGTTTTCTCGAATTTTCTCATCGCATATAAAACGTTGAATTCGCCGCCCGAACACATATCTTTGTTGACTGCGGTGGTTTTACAGCGTATTCGGGCCTCCTGGAGTAGTATCCGTATAGGTTTCCAGGTTAAAAAAAAAGAAAACAGTAGTTCCATAACGGTTTAAACATGTCGAAGCCTAACGCTATTGGAATTGATTTGGGCACCACATATTCGTGTGTTGGTGTTTTTATGCATGGCAAGGTTGAAATTATTGCAAATGACCAGGGTAAGTCTGCCTTTCCTGATTCTTTCCTTCTTATTATTTATTATTGTTATTATTCTTGTCATTACAGCAGTGCTAAGAATTGTAGCAAAAGCTGTGACAATGAAGTGATTTTGACTTCTGTAGTCGGAAAAAAAGTGTTTCGAAAGGTTGTAATGTAGAGTTATTTGGACTGTTACAGTGGTTGTTCATCTCATTCCTCATACAGGATGGGTTTTCCATTCTATCAGTTGTTTATCTACTTTGTAGTTCAATGTTTTCAACTTGGCTGTTTAAGGTAACCGTACAACGCCATCTTACGTTGCATTCACGGACACTGAACGACTTATTGGAGATGCAGCTAAAAATCAGGTGGCAATGAATCCACAGAATACGGTTTTCGGTGGGTTTTTGATTGTTGCTTTTAAATGGGGGTTCTCTGTTTAGTGGTGAAGCGGTTTTTTTGTTTTGTTTGGAATTTAAGAGGCCAGTAACTTTCACCTGGCAACGCCATTAATTCCAGCTGGAGGAGATCATTCTGCATGGTTTTAATATATTTTTAGTTTAGTTCTGATGAGCTGGTCTTTCGTTTAAGATTGTAAACGTCTTATTGGTCGACGATTTGATGACAGTGCGGTTCAGTCCGACATGAAACATTGGCCCTTTAAAGTTGTCAGTGCCGAAGGAGGCAAACCAAAACTACAAGTAGAATACCGTGGTGAAACAAAAACCTTTACTCCAGAAGAAATTTCTTCGATGGTTTTGGGAAAAATGAAAGAGACTGCGGAAGCATTCCTTGGCTCGTCAGTTAAGGTACAATAATGCATACAGTTCACTTTACTTCGCAAGGCTTTTTGCGATGGGATCAGGGTTTCTCATGAAATATTTTTAGGACGCTGTTGTTACTGTGCCAGCATATTTCAATGACTCACAGCGTCAGGCTACAAAAGATGCAGGTGCAATTGCAGGATTAAACGTTCTTCGAATCATCAATGAACCTACAGCTGCAGCTATTGCGTATGGGCTGGATAAAAAGGTTGGCGAGAGTAGTATTTAGTTCTTTCTTTTTCTTGCTCTTTTCATTTATTTCGCTTCTTCCATTTTCACTGCATCGACTCGTGCATTTCTAGCTTACAATCTTGTATTTCAGGGAAGTGGAGAGCGTAACGTGCTTATCTTCGATTTAGGTGGAGGAACTTTTGATGTTTCAATTCTTACTATCGAAGATGGGATATTTGAGGTAAAATCGACGGCAGGTGACACACATCTTGGAGGTATGGATTCTGCAACTAACAATAATGTGTACTTTTTTCAATTCTTTAGTTGCTTTTTACGGTTTATTAATCATGCTTTAACAACATTTCAATGAATACATCATATTCAGTAAATTGGAACGTTGTATAGCTCTGGTATTCAGGTGAGGACTTTGACAACAGGATGGTGAACCATTTCGTCAGCGAATTCAAGCGCAAACACAAGAAGGATTTATCGACTAACCCGAGGGCTCTACGGCGTTTGCGCACCGCTTGTGAAAGGGCGAAGCGCACTCTCTCTAGCTCTTCTCAAGCCAGGTGAATTTTTCAGGCTATTGAACCTTGCTACTTTCTCTGGAAATTGAACATTACGTTTATCGTTTTATTAGATGGAAGTTTTATATTCTCTTTTTTCAGCATTGAAATAGATTCTCTGTTCGAGGGTATTGACTTCTACACCAACATCACTCGTGCTCGTTTTGAAGAATTAAATGCTGATTTGTTCCGTTCCACAATGGACCCAGTGGAAAAGGCTCTTCGCGATGCAAAAATGGACAAGTCTCAGATGCATGACATTGTTCTTGTTGGTGGTTCCACCCGTATTCCGAAAGTTCAGAAATTGCTATCGGACTTCTTCTCAGGCAAAGAACTGAATAAGAGCATTAATCCGGATGAAGTTAGCGATTTTATTTGTTGCCTGCTTTATTCATATCATTTTTCCAGTTCCTCTATACAATATTTGTAGGCTGTAGCATACGGTGCAGCCGTCCAAGCAGCTATTCTTTCGGGTGACAAGTCCGAAGCTGTGCAAGACCTGCTTTTATTGGATGTTGCTCCTCTTTCCTTAGGTATTGAGACCGCCGGTGGAGTGATGACAGCTCTCATTAAGAGGAATACGACTATCCCGACAAAAACTTCTCAAACATTCACAACTTATTCTGACAACCAGCCAGGTGTATTGATTCAGGTAGCTTACTCCGTTGTTTTGATTAAAACTTGTCTTGTCTCTTGGTTCCTTGTGGTTATGGTGGGATTTCGTTTTATTTATCTGTCATAGGTATATGAAGGTGAGCGTACTATGACGAAGGACAATAACCTGTTGGGCAAGTTTGAGTTGTCGGGTATCCCGCCTGCTCCGCGCGGTGTGCCTCAAATTGAAGTCACCTTTGATATTGATGCGAATGGCATTTTGAATGTCTCGGCACAAGACAAGTCAACAGGCAAACATAACAAAATCACCATTACAAATGATAAGGGTCGGCTGTCAAAGGATGATATTGAAAAAATGGTTCAAGAAGCCGAGAAGTACAAGGCCGATGATGAAGCACAGAGAGAACGAGTGGCTGCAAAGAACAGTCTCGAAGCATACGCGTTCAATATGAAGCAAACTATTGATGATGAAAAGGTTTGTTCTTTTACAGTATCTTGGTTTTTTTGCATACAGTACGATAAACAGATAGCTTCCAGATAAAAGGTAAAATATCTGCTGACGACCGGAAGAAGATCGAAACTAAGTGTGACGAGGTCATTAAGTGGTTGGACCATAATCAGACTGCTGAGAAGGATGAGTTTGAACACCAACAAAAGGAATTGGAGTCAGTTTGTACTCCAATTATAACGAAACTATACCAGGGCGCTGGAGGCGGACCAGGAGGTATTCTTTGATGTTCTTCGATTGTGTAATCATTATCCTTTACTTCGTTCCCGTTGTCCTAGATTGTCAGTCAATGTATGCTTTTTTTGTCTTGGAATTGTTGGATTTTGAATTTGCAGGAATGGGAGGAGGCTTTCCTGGAGCTGGCTCAGGGGCGAGTTCACAAGGGGCCGGCGGCCCGACCATCGAGGAAGTGGACTAACGTCCAGTTTGGCGATGATCTCATATTAATGGAATGTTTTTCTTGTATTATTTTTGTTTATTGTTGAACTTCCTGTAGCATCGGATACGGGTAGATATCACTAATTTTGATATAAATTACGTATGAATACATTTATGTTAGAAATGCGGAGCAGCAAATTTTGTTTGTGTCGGGAAATTACAAAAATTTGTTCTTTTGTTATAAAGGGATTAAGCGAAGCTCATCGTGTTTATTCTGTTTTTGCTTTTTTAATTGCAAATTTGAGGGGCTTGAGTGCTGTCGCGTAAGCTCATGTTTTAGTGATTAAATAAGACCTCGTAAGAATAAAACTTTGGGTGTACTTGCGTGTCACAAATGGAAAGTGAGCTTTGTAGGTCGGGTTCTTTGGGGCTGTTGGCGGCTGTAGTGCTGTTTGGTTGTGCGGAAGGTGTCATGCTGATAAAGCAGTAGGAGGTTTTCGTGCGCTAAATTGATTTTAAAACTTGGGTTTTGTGGATTAGAAGATGATTAGTAGCTGTCAGACCGCTGACTGGACCTCGTAGATGGGCAGTTAGTCCGCTGTCAGCAAGGACTAAGGTGTTAGCTGTGTAAAGCGGGCTGTCAAAGTAGAGGAACTGTTGTTATGATGTCAGTTTATTATGTTTGGGGGAAGTGGGGGTGTTTTTATTTTTGTCAGGGTTCTTAGCAGTTGCTTCTACGCAAAAACCACTGGTGGGTTTCGTTTTGAAGGGGGTGGCAAGTGGAGTTGCTTGCGCATAGTTCATGGTTTAACGTTGAAATTGTAATTTCGTTTGTGTGTCTGATGCCTGCTGTATATTGTTGTATTTTTGTGAAACTGTGATGAATGGTATTTCTTTACTGTTCGTTGGTCAGTGACGTATTTATCTGTGCGTGTGAGTGCCACGAGTCGAAGTCTGGGTAGGTTTTCGGGAGGAAGTGGCACTGTTTTTGTTTAACTTTCACGCCAACATTTATTCTTTTTTGCTGATAAAGTGTTTTGGTTCTTTGATGGGGAGTTTTTGACTCGCTGGGGCTCATTTTAAATCGAAGCTTGTGTGCATGTTGTGTACTTTTTGAAGATTACTTTGTATGGGTTTGTTGCTGAGAAGCAGGTACAATTGGTCGTTTGCATTGAAGTCCCAGGTCGGAGGGTGCTGTTGGTTGTTTGTTGTCTTTGGGTGGAGAGTCGCTCTGTGGTTGCCGTGAGTGTTAAGTTTTGACTAATAAATTTATCTGCGTGGAGCATACTTTAAACTTCTGAAGGCTGTTGCGGCTTAGTGCAGTTGCATTGACGATTAATTATTGTAGCTTACTAAGCGGTTGTACAGTTGTGTTAGAATCTTGGTGTCTCGGTATTCAGATTGTAAACGGGAAATAGGGAACGGGTTTTGAGGTGGCAAGATATATCGTTTGTTGCTTTATAGTTATTGTGGCTGGTGAAAAGTTGTGCGAAGGTTAAAAGTTCAAATAATGGTGGGTTTTGAAGTTAATCTCTTAAGTCTTCGACGTTTATGAGGCTAACTTTTACAGGCGGAAATACTGTAGTAGGAAATTTTTTAATGGAGGATGGTCTTTAATATGCTTGGTTTTCTTCACGTTGATTGGTGTGACACGAGACTAGATCGGAATAATCACATATCAGTCTTTCTGGATCAAAACTAAGTCCTTTGGGACACCGCCGATGGTAAACTGTACCGTATGCGGAGCAAATATAAAAATTTGTACAGTTATTTGGGTCAGGCATTAAGCCACGTCTCTGGCAATTGAATTCATTATTGTTTAGTCGTTTAACTTCTGTGGCTTCAATTGGTTTCGGCTCTAAAAATGAAATATTGTAGAACTGTTTGGCAGAAGATACAATGGAACAAAATTGGTTGAAGATTTAAATTACTACAGATGTTTGTAGAGCAGCGACTTTAAGTACACAGATTGTTATTCAACATTGTTATTAAAGATTACATGTACCTGGGCAAAGACCGCAAGTATTTTTGCAGTTTTTTTTGACCATATTTTGATTGCAGTATATCTTTAAAAAGGCGCACACCACTGGTAACAGTCTGTCCTCACATACTTCTAAAAGAATGATAAAATTGACGAATAATTTGTGAGAGATTTGAGTGTTTCTTTATTGTACATTTATATATTTTTTTGACTCACTGAAAAATGCTAATATAAAAGGTTGAAATTCAAAAAAATCTAAGCAGCAGTGATTTTTTATCTTATTTTGTCAAACAACAATCTCTTTTAGTTAAGGAGAGTTTTTTTCTGGTTGTTAGGGTGAGATTATGTACCAGTTTCGCAGATACCTAGATTTAGGCTATAGATAATGATTTCGTGTTTCAGAAACGTTGGTGACAATGCAAAAGTTTCTGGGAATGAGATAGGAGGCCGAGTCGACGTGATAGGTGGGGGAATAAAAGAGTGAAGATTCAGTATTAGTAAACTTCTTCTTCTACTATGCTAATTCTCGCTGAGAGTTGCATAGATTACTAAATTAATTTATTCGAAGATAGTTGGAGAAAAAAAGATTAAAAGATATATTTTTCAATTAAACACTACAGCGATATTAGCGTACGGTAGATTACCGTTACTGTATGGTATATGGGAGAAAATTTTTTTGTTAATAATAGTAGAAGTGGATGAATACCTTGGTCCTGGTGAGATTCGCTGAATAACGACAATATGAGCACGAGAAACCACAGAGAAATTAAGTAGGACATTGTCAACCGTTCAAATTTATATATTTGCTGGTTTACCAACTTTTCGTTCGTACCGATAACGTTGAGTAAGCCGTTTTTTCTTGGTATGGGAATGTTGGAAATTTCGTAATGATATTACAGAAAATGCTGTTACTGTGAAAAATTGGGATTGGGAAGCAAAAAAAAAAAAAGCAAACAGGTAGCATAATGAAAACAACAACAAAGGTGGGGTTCTGGTTCATTGTTTCTCAAATGGTTCTAAATGATAGCACGTTATTGTTGCAGTATAATGGTAGTGATGTATGTGGCGGTTGGTTTAATCCCCATTTTAGTCAAAACAATTGGTTACACTTAAAAAAGAAGAGCTTGTGGCCTAATTGCTATCTTCCTTCCATCTCGATGATAAAGGCGTTGTTGTAAAACCAAGCTAAACCTGCCAGCGAAGCAACGGTACTGAAAACATCAATGTTTAATAGTCGTTTTTCAAAACAAACAAAGAAGTCCCTACAATTATGCTTCTTCACACCTTCTTACATTTGTCTTGGGTCAGAAGTTTATTTTTGCAATTTAATTTCTGTTCAATTGCCGTTTTTAATTTTACTACATTTATAATTCATAGAATACTGGTGTAATTAATCAATTTTCTTGGGTTGTCTATCCGTTGATATGACAGCATAAGAATTGCAACTTTTTTATTTCAGCAGACGCAGTAACTTCTAATCAACATAGCCATTTACCGATGATAACATTTACTTTTGATTGTGGTTGTCGAAAATATTATAGTAAAATTTCCAAGCCACAAAGCTTAATTCTATCAATGACGGACAATAAGCTGAGGAAGTTAGTAAGTTTGTGTAACATGCTTTATAAATTTTCTCATTTCAGATAACACCTGCTGCTGTTACGAAGATGTGACAAGATCATGAATACACGGCGTTTACTGGCGAGAATTATATCTGAAACTAAAAAAAAGAGTGAAGAATGACCTACTGCACATGGACAGTTTGTAGTTCCAACTTTGATGTTGATTTGGCACCTAGATTTAGCATGGTTCTTATTGAATGACTACGTTGATTTTTATTTTATAACACTTCATTCTCAATTTGAATAGCTTTTTCAATGGTACATGTGAATACAAGTTGCTTCATTGGAAACGATGAACTTGAACACGATATCAATTACAGAAAAAAATTG